GATAATGTTTAATTACTTTTAATGTACGTTCAAGCAACTCTTCAGTGTGTAAACAAATGCTGGATTTATGGCGTCTATCACCCAGTCAGCACAGATTAAGTCTCCCATGCAGAGAAAAGGCAATCTTACGCGGGGGTGATATGCCTTCTGCGCCACTTGCCTTCAATATGTCCTCTTTGCTCAATATATTGATTTACTAAGGACAACGCTGAGATTAATGAGCACACAGTGAAGATCGAACCCATTTAGTAAGACATTACCCCATTAGCTAACCGTTTTTTCTAAACATAGCTTGGATGTAGAGAAGCCACTTAGGATCGAACTAATTATTCAATTTTAATTGATCTACCGAGATAAGCTTGTTAACCATTAGACTATGTCGAAGTGCCGAAAATGATTTTCTAAGCGTATCTTAGATGTGGTACAAGGCCGAAAGTATAGAGCACCGAGTGAGGATCGAACTCACTATTCAGTCGTAATGGATCTAGCGAGATAAGCTTGTTAACCATTACAGCATGTCGAAGTGCCGAAAATGATTTTCTAAGCGTATCTTAGTTGTGGCACAAAGCCGAAAGTATAGAGCACCCAGTGAGGATCGAAATCACTATTCAGTCGTAATTGATCTGGCGAGATAAGCTTGTTAACCATTATACCAAGCCGGTGGACGTAATTTATACTGTTAAAATAATAATAATAATAAAAAACATGATATCTACTGAAACATAAGTATCCGCAAACTAACGTTGGGAATAATGCCTGGTAAAAATCTAAATAACCAGAAATATTGCCAGAGCAGTGATGCTGACCTCTAACTACGAGTTTCCCGCCAAGGGATCATTTCTATAATGGCGACTGGGTTCTGTACGTTTGGTTGGCAGACAGTCTAGGAAATTCTAAATTCAAAACTGTTGCGTGAATGGCTAGCATCTCAACCCTATAAAACGTACTTGCTACTAAACAACAGTAGTAATACCGTGTATATTAAGTACGGGTGACCGTACACGACATTATCAGAAAACAAGAGTGATGACTATAGTAAATTTAAAGTCAAAATTTCTAAAATTCAATAAAACTTTCGATTATGGAGAATATTTTCCTAAATTTTAAAGATTACTGAATGCTTATTAAAATGTCATTTTCTTCAATTATGTTTTACAGATAGAATCCCCGTAGGACAACATTAGATATCTCATCAGGCTGTCAACACACGTGCTATCTGGTTAAAAGACTGTCGGATTAAATAATATTTGTTTCAAATCAGATTAAGTATGCTTTAAATCAGCTATTAGCCCCCAAATAAAGTTACAGAAAAGTATATTTTATTTTTGGAAGATTTTTTTTGATAAAGAGAATTACATTGCGATGGAAGATGGCGAAAAGAAGGGCGACAATGGGCTATTTAAAAAAAAAAAAAAAAAAAAACACTCTTTCCAGTCAATTTAAATTTAATTCTGAAACACAGCAAAGCATTTTCAATTTTAGAAACATAAAATTTAATCTATTAGGTTGAAATTAAATAAAAAAAAATGATTATATAAGAATAAAATATCGCTGCCGACACTTGAGTTTGAACACAGATCACCTGAAAGCAAACACAGGCGATCCCATTTTGAATAAGTAGATTACGTGATGGTAAAGGAGATCTATATATGGGAATTAGCATGGTGACTAAGCGATCACTATTTCTATACTATCCTCTCTTACTTTACAGATCGCTATTCTCTATAATGTTCACTATAGTATTTCTCTATTCTGATCCCTACATGGAGCGAGTATTATGGAGCGATTACTATTCGTGCGAATGTTATTCGAAGGCGTCTGACACCAGTATTGTTCAATGGTGTACTATATCTGCTATTGCAATGTCTCTACTACATCGAGAATCACGAAAGTGATAATGAGTATTTGTTGATATTACAAAGGTGGTAACGAGTGTTTGTTTTCATCGCAAATTAAAGCTTCAAGAACGATTTTTCATTTTTATAAATTCATTTTAAAGCTTTAGTACTGCAATTTTTGTGGATGTCCTTATATACATTTCTACTATCGAGTTACAAAGTAATTTGAGCCGTGAAGATAAAACTCTAAAGCAGGCGAGGGCAATATTTTTCCAGCAGTCAGCCGGATGGTCTATGGCTCATCACAAGGCGGGACGTACTACTAAAATGATTCAAGGTAATTTTTCGCAGAAAGTACCCCAGCTAGTTTCAAGTATCTGGGGTACTCTGTAACTCGATGGCAGAAATGTATAGATATTCTTGGTTACTGTTTTGAAGGATTTAAATATTGTTTAAATATATTAATTCAGAAATAAAAGATGATTCTAAAATAAGAAATCATTTTCCGAACAACCTAATATTTGCTTTTGCTACTGTAATTTACTAGTAAGTGCTTTTTATGTAAGGACATCCACAATAATGCCATATCAAAGGTTTAAAATGAATTTATTGTTGTGGATTCCGGGATGAAATCCGGTACCAATAAATAACAAACGCCAAGAAGGAATATAGGAAAATAATGTATTAACGTAATAATACAAACTGGTAATGCAGGTTAGTAGTTCCAGGAATACGGGTTAGTAGCAAATATATATATATATATACAGTCTTTGGTATTGAAGTATCACTGTATGACCTCTTATTGAGTCTACGTGCTCGCTCACTGTGACTCCTACAACGCTGGTACCTCACCCCTCACTCTTCCGGTTACCTACAACCTTTTACTCTGTCACTCTGGACTCGACTCCTCGGTTTTGTTCTCGTCTTACTCTCGTGTCTTCCCGTAGCAGTAGTATATGTATATACTGGGTGAGTCCATTTGTGTAAAAAGGGGTGGAGCCCTCAACATTTATGAAAATGAAAAATCGTTCTTGAAGCTTTCATTTTTTGTGATGAAAACGAAAACTCGTTGCCCCTTTTGTAATGTCAACGAATATTCATTGTTACTTTCATAATGCTCGTTGTAGTAGAGACTTTGTAATCGCAGATACAACTATAGTAACGCCGTTGAACAATACTGGTCTCAGTCCATTCAAATAACACTCCCACAAATAGTACTCACTCGATAACATTCGCTCGGAAAGTAAGCATCGAATATCTCATGTAGTGATCAGAAGAGAGAAATACTATAGTGAATAGTATAGAGAATAGCGATCCTTATAGTAATAGAGGACAGTGTCGAAATAGTGATCGCTTAGACGCCACGCTAATTCCCATATATACATTTCCTGCATATATTCGCTGTTTCTACTGTAATTTTGTAGCAAGAGTATTTTATGTAAGGACAACCACAAAAATACCATACTGTTGTGGTAGGATCCACCTAATTTGCATAGTGGAGTCCCGACCATATAAATATGGTTGGTACCGACCATATAAATATGGTTGGTACCGGGAAGAGAGGAGGGGAATCAAGAGATTCAATCCAGAGACTCTGCCCGACTGCGACTAAGTCAACACATTCTCCAGGAACGGTCTTCCCAGGAATATACAAAAGACTATATGTAAATATTGTGTACACTTTCTTGTTTCAATACATTTTGTTCTAAGTACATTTTGTGTTGCATTATTATTCCATGCATTAGTCAAGTTTCAACACATACCAAAGATTTAAAATAAATTCATAAAAATGAAAAATTGTTCTTGAATCTTTAATTTTTTGTGATGATTTTTATCAGGCATTATTTCCTACTATTTCAAACGTTAGTTTATGGATAATTATGTTTCATTAGATATCAAGTTTTTTTTTATCATTATCATTATTTAAACAGCATAAACTATGTCTACCGGCCTGTGCATTCGAGAGACATAAATGTGTTCTTCGGCAGGTTGACGCTCAGAGGTCGAAAGCACAATGGAACTGACTGAACCCTCATTGGAATAGCGAAAATGCCTTCCAAAATTTCAATAAAGTCTTAAGAGACAAGAATGTACAGAAGACCATATGCGTAAGCATATATGTTAGAAATGGTGGACGGACCCGACGTGAATATGACCGAACTTTTATTGTCGATAACTTCAAAACGGTAGATTTCCGTAAACTTTTACATATAAAACACATTACACCGAAATGAAACGTTTAAGGAAATATTTATTACTATTGGTGTGCAACATTGCTCTTTTATCATTAGGAATAAGAAATGTATTTTTGTCCAACTATTATAAGGTTCTGCGTAAAGGTAAGTGATCCCCTAAAATAATATTTAAAAAATATCTCTTTTTACCAGATAATCACCAAATCATAATTTTTAATTAAACTATATATTCATTCTGAAAGACTTTTTTATTAAACGAATTACAGGCGTTTTCTAAAAGTTTTATCAAGCTGAAATAAAATATTAATTAACAATTAAGATCTGCAAAAGTAAGTGAACTCTTACATCTAATATTTGGACACTCCATCTTTTGAGGTCACAAGGTCTACTAGTATTTTTGTATCATTTTAAAAAGTGTCTGGCTAGAGTCAATTTTGTTTTATCATTTTTCTTGGCAAAACTCTTACAATTGCTCGATATTACCTGACTACGCATATACTGTCTTCTTTCTTGGGAAGAAAGAAAGAAAGAAAGAAAGAAAGAAAGAAAGAAAGAAAGAAAGAAAGAAAGAAAGAAAAAAAATAGGGTGAAAGATAGAAAGAGTAGAGTTAAAGAAAGAAAGGAAAGAAAGAAAGAAAAAATGATGGGGAGATATTCAGACAAATAAAAGGGAATGAAATATTAAAAGAAAGAAAGAAAGAAAGAAAGAAAGAAAGAAAGAAAGAAAGAAAGAGAAAAAGGATGGGGAGATATTCAGACAAATGAAAGGGAATGAAATATTAAGAAAGAAAGAAAGAAAGAAAGAAAAGAAAAAGAAAAGAAAGAAAGAAAGAGAAAAAGGATGGGGAGATATTCAGACAAATGAAAGGGAATGAAATATTAAGAAAGAAAGAAAGAAAGAAAGAAAGAAAGAAAGAAAGAAAGAAAGAATGGGGATATATTCAGACAATTGAAATGGAGTGAAATATTAAGAAAGAAAGGAAGAAATAGGATGCTGGAAGAAAAAGAGAGATATTAAGAAAGAAAGAAAAAAGAAAGAAAAGTTGGGAAGATATTCAGGCAAAAGGAAGGGAGTGAGAATTAAGAAAGAATGAAAAAAGAAAGAAAGAAAGAAAGAAAGAAAGAACGTAAGAGGTGGATGAAAGCAAGCAAGAAAAAAAGAAAGTAGTTCGAAAGAAAGACTTGGGAGATACTTAGAAAAAAGAGAGACTTGGGAGATATAAACTGAAGACAACTAATTAAAGCAAGAAAGGAATAATAAAAGAAAGAAAAAAAATGAAGAGATATTTTGAAAAGAAAAAAAATCAGTTGGCGATATAAATATATCATATAAGAAAGTGAGAAAGAAAATATAAGATAATCTTTAAACCTTTTTCATTGCAACCTTTTTCAATATTACATACAACCCAGTGTCTCGTTTTCCAACAAAAAAAAAAAAAAAAAAACTGATATCTATATCTATATCTGTCTGTCAATATACCACATAACACCCTTGAGCGCTTAGCCTTGGGGCGGCTAGAATGGAGATCAACGTGTTTTAGTGGACTCAGCAGTTTTCAATCTGCTTGTCTGAATCATCTTCAAGAAGCGAGAGCAAGATCGAAAAGGTCAGCCAATCTAACAGAGATCTCATTTCAAAATCCTCACACTTGCTCCATATGTGGCCTCCTTTGTAAATCACGAGCGGGTCTTAAATGCCACTTAAGATTATCGTACAAAATTTCATAACTGAATCAATTAGGCTGTTAGATTCTCATACGTCGAAACCGACGGGAGAGTACCTTATATATATATATATATATATATATATATATATATATATATATTTGTATCGATCTCTCTCTCTCTCTCTCTCTTATATATATATATATATATATATATATATATATATATATATATATATATAGCCTTTTTTGCATGTAGATGCTATTATATTAGTGTTGTCAACGAATAGTGTCCGGTAGGTCTGAATGAATATTAAAATGGAATCTAATTGATCTCATACATGCAACAAACTATTTCTTATTTAACAGTTAAAATATTTAATCCTTGAAAATGGCTAAATGTATAGCCGAAAGCGATCGGATAAAAAAAAAACATTCGGACAGTTTTTATATAATTTATCATCCGAAAACAAAAAAAAATTATTAGATCGCATGAGAAATTGTATAAAAAAAAATAAATCAAAGCACCTTGTCTGGCGTATTCAATGAAATGTGCATGAAAGATGGATTGCTGCCTAAATGCACAAATATATATATATATATATATATATATATATATATATATATATATATATATATATATATATAAACAGAAGTCAACACTTAGAGGCGACAGGCTGTTTCATGCTAGACGCAATTGTCAGGACGACTGCGTCTAGCATCAAACAGCCTGTCGCCCCTAAGTGTTGACTTCTATGTTCACTTTATATTTACACACGCTCTATCTCTGATATTGAGCACTTTATCCCATAAATATAGCACAGCTTAAGACTATCTTTCTTAATATATACATACACACACACACACACACACACACACATATATATATATATATATATACATATATATATATATATATATATATATATGTGTGTGTGTGTATATATATATATGTATGTATATATATATATATATATATATATATATATATATATATATATATATATATATATATATATATATATATATATATATATATATATATATATATATATATATATATATATATATATATATATATGTATGTATATATTTCTTATTGCTGCAAATGTAAAGTACCAGTAGAACCTTAAATTCAAATAATGTTCCAAATTGGCTTTCATACGGCATAAAAAAAATGAATGCAAGCGTAGCGTCTCTATCGGAGTCACTGTGATGAACATTGACTTCGTTAGTCGTCGTCAATCTCACTCAGTTCCCGAAACGCATAATTTTCATCTCGCCACGACGTGACTGATATCATTCATTCGTACGAGTTTCCATGGAAAGAATTTGCATGAGCAGCATCGAAAAATTGGTCGAATTTGGTTTCGAACTAACGAGCCACTTCGCTGCAAATTTCCCCAGTGGGTGGATAATCCGGGCGAACATACAGATCTTCGTATGAAACTTGACTTGAGTCGCAGGCAAAGGACATTTCGCTGTGTCGGTTGAACAACAATAATCAAGCACGATCATATTTTGGCAAGCAAAACGAACGTACCTCAAAACAAGCAAAGTAATTGGTTGATGAATACTTACATTTAAATTTAATACTTATTTTATTATTGTGTTATCAAGCATAATTATTAAAGTGTTCATTATATATATATATATATATATGAAGAAAAATATATACGGAAAAAACAAACAAAAATCCTTATATACAATTATGCTGTTTTAATCTTAATATGTCAACGTCGAACGTTTCGGTCTAATAAACCATCTTCAGGACATATTCATAAAATATAATTAACATTATCAATTTAACATGACAAAAACGATGTACATAAGAACAAGACTTATCCAAACAGATAACTGAAAGTTTTATAAGATCAGCGCTCCGTTTAAAATATGGTCACGTTGTCGTCATGTGGGCGACGCTGTGAAACGGAGCGCTGATCTTATAAAACTTTCAGTTATCTGTTTGGATAAGTCTTGTTCTTATGTACATCATCTTTGTCATGTTGAATTGATAATGTTATAATTTATGAATATGTCCTGAAGATGGTTTATTAGGACCGAAACGTCCGACGTTGACATAATAACATTAAAACAGCATAATTGTATAAAAGGATTATTGTTTGTTTTTTCCGTATATATTTTCTTCATACTGTCGGATTTATATCCATATATTTGCTATATATATATATATATATATATATATATATATATATATATATATATATATATATATATATACTAAGTATATGATTGGTGTATACGGAATGAATTCCAATAACCAACAATTGCTATACTTAAAAGAGTGCTCAATACAAAGTAGCGCAGATATAATTATTTATTTTTAAAAAAAAATTATAACATAAATATGTTATAAAATCACTACAAAAATAGCCATTTTGTTTCAACACCCCCGGTGTCTTATCAAGTGATGATGTTGAATGTAAAATAAATGGTTTTAAAAGTTTCAAATTAATTAACAATCCTTCACAAGAGGAAAACGTTGTTACAAAAGCTAGATGGACCAATCAAAATACAAGTATAGGAAAATTCAAAAAGCTTCAGAACGAAGTCATGTTATAATAGCTATTCAGATGTTTAAAATATGGGTAGTATTAAAAAAAGAATTTATTCCAACCAATAATTACTAAATTATATGATAAAATTTAATATTAAAATTAAAAACTGCTAATTTCAAAATCCAAATTTAATCGTTATTAAGTTTACAACCATAAAATTACTGAGGAGAAAAGAAGAAATACATATATTATTCAATTTATTTCTTCATTGAAATTACGTTAGACGCTAATGTTATATCCGGTCCTCTGACAATATATATGTATACATTTTAATCCCAAGTGTGTGAATGGGGTCCTAACCTCACGCGTAAATCAATACAAACACAATCAGATTATATATATATATATATATATATATATATATATATATATATATATAGAGAGAGAGAGAGAGAGAGAGAGAGAGAGAGAAAGAAAGAAAGAAAGAAAGAAAGAAGGAGAGACTGACAGACATCTGATCAGAGTGAGATAAATACACATGAACAAACAGATAGATATGAACATAGACATAAACAGACTGAGATAGATACACATATAGATATGAACAGGCTTAGATTGATGGATATGAACTGATAGATAGATAGATAGATAGATAGATAGATAGATAGATAGATAGATAGATAATGGATGGGGATGAAACTGAGAAATATATAGATATGAACAGACAATGATAGATAAATAGCTAGATAGATAGGCAAATAAAATAATTGAACAGACTGACATAAATAATAAACATACTGATATAGATAAATAGATAGATAGATATGAATAGATAGAAAATAGATGTGATGAAACTGAGAAATAGATAGATATAAATAGACAGTTATAGGTAGATAGATAGAAAAATATGAACAGACTGACGTAGATAGATAATGAACATACTGAAATGAATAGATACAAATATAGAGATGAACTGACTGAGATAGATAATGAATAGATAGATAGACAGTAGACAGATAGATAGATAGATAGATAGATAGATATGAACAAAATAAGATAGATAGATAGAATTGAACAGACTGAGATATTATTAAACCAAATGCGAAAATTCCATACGTGTTTCACTGATATAATATTTATAGTTTTTTTGCCTTTGTTGCAAAAAAGTAAATATATTATATTTGAACTATTACAAATCATATATATATATATATATATATATATATATATATATATATATATATATATATATATATATTGATGCATGTTTCATTAAATAATATAGACAAATTTTGTCGATTTATTTTAAGTAAGTTCCTTTCATATTGTCTGGTAAGCTTAATAATATTATCATTGAAGGACGAAGGAAATCACCATATTGATACATGTTTAAATCCAATCTAAGCTTTCGGCTTACATAAGCCATTATCAAAGATGACAATTACATTTCAATATATCAAACAATACACGGACGAAACAATAATGATAGTCTGTTTTTTGTTGCATGAAAAATTTCAAAGCAACGACAAACTCGTGTAAACGAGATGCGGAAGCGAAAATCGCGTCGCAGCTAGTGACGTCACACATGACCACGTGAGAGTGAAAACGAGAAGTATTAAGTATGGGAAGCCGTTGGTATAAACCAATCGCTTCTGTTACCAATTATAGGCATTTAAGAATATTTGTGGAGATTTCGTAGTTTATTTTGTTCAGGTTAGGTTTCAACTGTTTTATGTATATAGCTTCATGAATTTTTAGTTTTTGTTTATTGTTTTCATGTTTAAGTATAGTTGTTTTTTCTACAAGGATTATCCGGAATTGTGTACGCGGGCAGGCATGTTGTTTTAAATGCCTAAAAATGTTAGAGTTAACTTGTCTATATTATTTGATGAAACATGCATCAATAAAAAACTGCTGCCTAAACATACACAACAGAATTAATTTGAAAAAACTTTTTCACTTAATTCATGTTTACTTCTAAGATTACATAGATGTGACCACTCGTTGAACTGATGATATTTTTCGATTTTTTGTACTTTTATTGTGGTATGAGTGCGTTAATTTCCTTTTCGCTTAATGGATGTTGATTAGTTAGTTGAGTTTTCGTCTTTCCCTTCCTATTTTAATTTAAAAAAAAAAAAATTCTTATATTCTTTCCTCACCTTCTCCGTTGATTTCTGGTTTGTTCCTATTATTTTGTACATTTAATTTAGGTGACAGTTGGAATTTTTTGTTAAGGGACTTTGTTTTTGTTTTTCGCTTATCCATGTATCTGGTTACAGAAATTAAGATAAATGATAGATCTATCCTAAGGATTGACGTTGTTAAAGTTAATAACGTATAAGGACATGATAAGTAGGTGATTTCAAACGATTTAAGATGTGTTTCTATTTTATTTTCCATAAGTTTGCCAAATACTGACTTCGAAAGTTTCTTTTGTCTGGCTTATATTGAGGTCGGTAAATGATCTGTGAGTGCAACTGATTAACTGAATGATCTATTTTTAGGAATGACGCTGTTAATATTAATAATGTGTTAAGGGCATGACAAGTAGTTGATTTCAAGGGTTTAAGATATACTTTTGTTTTATATCCTTTATTGAAATTTGCCTATGACTGACTTCGGAAATCTCTTCTATCTGGCTTTATATTGAGGTCGGTAAGTGATCTGTGAGTGCGGTGAGTGAGCGTAGGATTGTCTTTAGCTTTGGTAAGTTTAGAAATATTTTTTCGCTTATCCATGTATCAGGTTACAGAAATGAAATTAACTGATTGATCTATCCTTAAGAATGACGCTGTTAATAACATATTAAGGACATAATAAGTAGTTGATTTCAGATATATTTTTATCATTTATTAAAGATTCCTTATGACTGACTTCGAAAGACTCTTCTATCTGGCTTTATATTGAGGTCGGTAAGTGATCTATGAGTGCAGTGTGTGCAAGTAGGATTGTCTTTCGGTTTGATAAGTTTTTTTTTGTTTTGGTTTTCCAAATATCTGGTTACAGAAATGAAGTTAACTGATTGAATGACGCTGTTAATATTAATAACGTGTTAAGGGTATGATAAGTATTTGATTTCAGGGGTTTAAGATATACTCTTATTTTATATACTTTATTAAAATGTGCCTATGACTGACTTCGGAAACCTCTTCTATCTGGCTTTATATTGAGGTCGGTAAGTGATCTGTGAGTGCGGTGAGTGAGCGTAGGATTGTCTTTCGCTTTTGTAAATTTAAAAATATTTTTTTTCGCTTATCCATGTATCGGGTTACAGAAATGAAGTTAACTGATTGATCTCTCCTTAAGAATGACGCTATCATTTCGAATAATGTGTTAAGGACATGATCAGTAGTTGCTTTCAGGGATTTAAGATATATTTTTTATTTTATTTCATTTATGAATTTTTTGCCTACTACTGACTTCGAAAGCGATCTTTTATATGGCTTTATACTGAGGTCGGTAAGTCATCTGTGAATACGTTGAATGCGAATAGGGTTATCTTTCCCTTTGATATGTCATTTTAATCTTTTTTTCGCTTATCCAAATATCTGCATAAAGAAATGAAGTTAACTGATTGATTTATCCTTAAGAATGACGTTGCGTGTTAAGGACATAATAAGTAGGTGATTTCAAGGGATTTAAGATATATTTTTATTTTATATCATCTATTAAAGATCGTTATGACTGACTTCGAAAACCTTTTCTATCTGGCTTTATATTGAGGTCGGTAAGTGATCTGTGAGTGTGGTGCGTGCGATTAGGATTGTCTTTCGTTTTGATAAGTTTTTTTTGCTTATTCAAATATCTGGTTACAGAAATAAAGTTAACTGATTAATCAATCCTTATGAATGATGCTGTTAATGTTAATGTGTTAAGGACATGAACGGTAGTTGGGTTTAAGATATATTTCTGTTTTATTTTAGTTATTAAAGTTTGACTACTACTACAAGATTTTTAAATATTTTCTAAAATATAAAAATATGTATTGAAATTTCTTTCTTTCGTTGGTTAATTATACATTATAAAGGAATTGTTCACAGTTCATGTCTGTTTTAATTATTTCGATCTTTTCATTGATTATCAAGTATTACATCCAGAGGCAGTTTAGTATTCGTTTTAAATTGGATGTGTTCGTTATTTTTATTTTTGGAATGCATTCGATGTCACGTAAAAGCAGTTTTATTTGCTGAATTGAAATGCTTGCGATGCCTCATATGGCGTCTGAGAATTTAAGTACGTTTTAAATTCTGTATTCCCCGCTTATAATTGATTTTGTTAATATTTTTCTTTTGATTTATATGCATATGAGTATCTTTAAAAAACATTTTTATGCAGATTTGTTTTCATTATTATAGTCAGCGATGAAATGTTTTATGGGATAATTTTTTCGTTTCTTTATCATGTGGTGCTCTTTTGGACTTTCGGCAAATGTATGAGAGGTGAGTTTCCTTGACAGTGCTGTGTTTGAATATTCTCTACATACATACATACATACATACATACATACATACACACACACACACACACATATATATATATATATATTGAACAATAAAAATATTAAAAAATTAAAATCTTCAGACACACTGCGTTGTATATTAATCTTCTTTCGATTTTATTATTATTTCATTTAGATCCCTCGACTAGTTTCGACCAACATGGCCATCATCAGGAGAAAAATTCTGCTTGCTGGTAACAGTGAACTGCAGAAATAAATGTCTTGATGGAGAAAATGAACTTTTGTATGTAGTTTTCATTTGTTTTTTTTATTTTTTTAACATGAATTTTGGTCAGGCCTTGTGTTGGTCAAACAGTCTCTTTTAAGTTGTTATTTAAGATAAGAGCTGGATGGATTCATGCTGCGCTGAATTCCTTTGGTCAGTTTGACAGTTTTATTGGTTCCTGGAAAGGGGATGTGTCTCTGTTAAGTGTGTGTTATTTGGTTCTTAGGGAGTGAGTGAGTATGATGTGTGTAAGTGTGTATATTAGAATGGGTGTGTGTTATCATTTGGCTCATTAGGAAGTGAGTGAGTATGATGTGTGAAAGTGTGTATATTCATGTGTGTGTGTAAAAGTGTGAGGCCTCAACATCTCCGTAAGCATGTTTGTCTTTTGTGGGTGAGAAATGTGGTTAGGTTTTGATTTGTGGGGTTATATATTAATATAGGCACCTTCATGAAAATCGATAGCATGACAAGAACGGCCTGAAAATTAATGAAAGAATTTTTCTTCGTGTTACATGTATATTTCATTATTGAGAAGAAACACTAAAGTATTTTTTGAATATTTTTTGAAATTTTTACTCATTCTTAGAATGTCTGAATTTTTAGTTAAAAATCTTGTTTACGAAAGAACGAAAAGAAACTCGATATAAGCCATTTTTTTTAATTTTGAAAAATAAGTTAAATTCTTCGTTTAAAATTCGTTTAAAAATTAATTATACGTATTTCAAAATTTATTCGAAGAAATTTAGAAAATTTGAAGTTTATTTAAAATATTTTGAAAGAAACTTTTACTTACTTTCTTCGTAGAAAAATGTTTTTTAAGATAAAAAAAAGAACCGATCTCAACATCGTCGCAATTGACAAGTGCTGAGTGATGACGTCTATAAATTATTGACAGCTGACGTGAGATTCGAGTTCTCATACAGAAGGACAGAATGGAAATATTATTTTTTTTAAGCGGACCTGCTTAAGTAGTACCTTGTAATAATTAAAGTAAAAATACTTTCGCCATTCCAATTTTTTTTTTAAGTACTGTACCATAAGTTTGTTGATACTATCTGGAGAAATTATAAATACTATAAAAAAAATTAAGATACAAGTGCTGCACTGCTGACGTTTTTTTTTATTGCAAGCTTCCGGCTTCCGTAGATTTCATTGGTAAAAATTACTGACACAAATTAATTTTTTAATATACGTGCTCTCGTTAGTTTGTAATAAGCTTTGGAAATTATAATCTGTAAATATATATTTACTTAATAACAACATTCGTTAAGTTCTACAAACTTTTCCCTAATTTTAGAAGAATTAGCAACATAATGTGAAAATAAAAAAAAAATATTTCAGAAATAACAAATAATTGTTTTAAAAATTCATTTTTCATCGAAATATCTTTTTGCTTTCAGACAATATTGTCCATCTTCATTGAAATAAATAAAAGCTATTAAAAGCTTTTGAAATCAAATAATATTGTTGTTTTATTGAGTTTTGTATGTTACAATTCAGAGACGATTTTCAGGTGGTGGGGTACAACTAAAAAAAACAAAAACATGATTTGGTTTCCTCAAAGCATTATGCTTTTAACTAATATAATCATTAATCTCCTCGAAATTGAAATTATAGAGTTTTCGTACAATTAGTTAGAGGGGGTAATACATATGAAAAAAAAATTCTGCCATGACTTTACTAAAAATAAAATATATTTATAAGTTCTCTAAAACGACGCTAAAATTTTGTTTTCATCCACTTTAGCGTCTTTTTCATCATGGAATGCTCTGTTTTTAGCGATCTCATGGAAGTACCTATATTAATACTATTATCTATATTGTTAGATTTGTGATTAAGCTCGTCTTGATATATATATATATATATATATATATATATATATATATATATATGCTCATTCATGATTATAGGTGGTATGATTGTGATCACGTGATCAAAGTTTGAGCATGATCTCGCGAGATTTCTTGCTGCTGTTACAGTGTAACATTCTGCAGTGTGCACCAAAGAGGAACAAAGAGAAATACTAATATAAAATAAGCATTTATTAAGAGAGGTCAACTGAATATCGTTTTGTTGCAAGTTCTTTCTTACCTGGGAGGTTTGAAGCCTTCATGAAGTTAATGTAGTTTCCTCAATGTAAGGCAGGGGCTCCCAACCTTTTTTTGTGTCATCATCCACTTTCACATGGAAAAATTTTCCACCGCTTACCTGTATAGTAAATATTCGAAAGCATAGAAATATTGTTTGGTAAAAGTTTGTTACTGGTTCGTAAAGTGACTTTATGATGTAGTAATGCGGCTGCTGCTACTGCTGCAGCTACTATCGTATTAAAGAATAAACGAAAGCAAATTTGACAATTGAAAACTGTTAGTTTTATTGTTAGGGTTAGTGTTGCAAGTGTTGACAAAAAATATAACAATATTTATTCATAATTATAAAATTAAAAAAATATACACTACCAGCAAATAAATAAAAATTCACTCAATATTTTTCTTTTGATTATTTGGGAATGTGAACTAGTTGTTTCCATTGAGTCCCTGTTTATTTATTATACAGGTTCTAAGCGGGTTTCTAGGTTGGCAGCTCGGTCCCACCCTTTCACTGTCGAAACAGTTAAATGTAACCGCCTCTTCTACTCCAACATCTTCTTCTCTCGCACTTCCCATCAGTGGAATTCCCTTCCTCTTATTGCTTCCCTGATAGTTATAATCTTCAAATATTCAAATGTAATGTCAATCGACATCTTCTGATGCCATGATCCTGATCCCCGTCCTTCTCTACATCCTTTTTTCAAACACCCCTCTTTACTCTTGCTCTCACTCTCTGTAACCCGTTGTGTGCTAGTGGCACTCCAGCCTTGCTTGGGGTGAAATTCTTGAAAAAATCTCATTGGAATATTTGTTAGGATAGCATATGTTGAAATCCGTTTTTAAAACTTAAGTTCCTATATCGCCCATGAAAATTTTCAATCGTCAAACATTTTCTGTCTAGTTACTAATCACCCATCCAACAGTTGAAATCGCCCAACGCTGGGCGATATCACCCTGCTCTACACGGCTAACAACGATACTATTAAGTGGAATCCAGCAGACATGACTCTTCACAGCTTCCTTTTCTTTTTTTAAATTTATCAATAGATATTTGGGGAAGATAACTTAGTAGTCGTCATGGGTATGACGATAAACTACATGCGCGTCCTGGGTATGACGATAAACTACATCCGCGTCCTGGGTATAACGATAAACTACGCCCGTGTCCTGGGTATGACGATGGACTACACCCCCGTCCTGGGTATGACGATAAACTACATCCGTGTCCTGGGTATGACGATAAACTACACCACCATCCTGGGTATGACGATAAACTACATCCGCGTCCTGGGTATGATGATAAACTACATCAGCGTCCTGGGTATAACGATAAACTACATACCCGTCCTGGGTATGACGATAAACTACATCCGCGTCCTGGGTGTGATGATAAACTATATCAGCGTTCTGGGTATGACGATAAACTACATCAGCGTCCTGGGTATAACGATAAACTACATACCCGTCCTGGGTATGACGATAAAATATATCTGCGTCCTGGGTATACCGATAAACTACATCTGCGTCCTGGGTACGACGATAAACTACATCAGCGTCCTGGGTATACCGATAAACTACATCAGCGTCCTTGGTATGACGATAAACTACATCCGCGTCCTGGGTATAACGATAAACTACATCCGCGTCCCGGGTATGACGATAAACCACATGCCCGTCCTGGGTATGACGATAAACTACATCCCCGTTCTGTGTATAACGACAAACTACATCCGCGTCCCGGGTATGACGATAAACCACATCCCCGTCCTGGGTATGACGATATATTGCATTCGCTTCCTGGGTAAGACGATAAACTACATCCGCGTCCTTGGTATGACAATAAACTACATCCGCGTCCTGCGTATAACGATAAACTACGTGCAACAGAAAGGCATCTGATATTCGTTTTGGAAAAAATGTTGCCAGCTGTATGTTTTCGAGAGAGCGAAAGAAAAAATATTATTACCAGCTATATGTTTTTGAAAAAAATAATATTAACAGAAATGAATTTTTGACGGCAATACATTTTTAAAATATTACCAGAAAAAAAACGTTGTTGGCATTAAATGACCCATTGATGTTGATATGCCGTAAAACACAACAAACAAACAAACAAACAAACAAACAAATAACTTAATAGTTTCTCCTTAATTTATCCATTGTTTTATTCTTACAAGTGAATCACCGAGAATGGTTGCTGTCCAAGTCTAATGAACCTAGTTTGACCTGTTATTTAACACACCGCCAGTAGATGGGGATGGGAATTGTGGATTCATGCCTTTCCCAAGTGCGGAATATTTAAATTCGGCTCTCCGATTCTACTTTGGCGCCGATAATCATTACGATCGTAAAAATCCCAAAATTTTATTTAAAACTGGTAATTACTGTTCAGTGAATTTTCAGTATTTATAAAACAATTACTAAACAATCGTTACTAATAAATACTAATAAATACTATGTGAATGTCCCTTGAACTCTTCCTCTGGTAGCATATTTGAAAGTTTCTCCACTTGTATGAATAATTCTACCTTTTTCACGTTCTATCTTTTTTTCTCTCATTTTATTATCTTGCGTAAAAGCATTCTCATTTAATACAAAATGGCTGTCAATTTGATCGTTTCTTACTGCTCACATGAGAATTTTTTTTGTGCAATTAAAACTGAGACAGGAAACTGTGTTCCGAAGACAAATATAAAGAAGAAAGCAAAAAAGTGCAGCTGAGAAAGGAAACGGAAGAAGAAGAAGAAGAAGAAGAAGAAGAAGAAGAAGAAGAAGAAGAAGAAGAGGAAGAAGAAGAAGAAGTTCAGCAATAAAAACAAACATGTTCCTGAAAAGATAGGAAAGTAAATCAAGCGAAGAAGTCACGAGAGGAGAAAAAGAAGGAGAATGAGAATTAAAAGTGAAGAAAAAAGAAGTTTAAAAAAAAAGAATACATGACTACGGAGTGAAAAATAGAAAAAGTGGAGAAATGCAAGAAACAGAAGAAGAAAAAGATGAAGGAAAAGAAGAACGAATGAAAACTGGAAGAAAGAAACATTTTATCATAGATAATAAAGAAAAAAGAAGTCAATAAAGAAGAAGAAAAAGAAAAAGAAGAATTTTTTTGGTAAGTATGAACTGTATGTAGTAAGCAAAGAAAAAGAGAACGTATTTAAAGTGTAGGGTGGTCTGAAAGTCTTAATCTAATTATCTATTTAAGATGGCTGACATGAAAATGATGGGGGTTCATACAGACATTCTCCATGTGTGACAGCGTCAATGAAAGTGAATAAACTGAATTCAGTATATGTCTTTTGTATTAATGTATTACTTGTTCTATTTTCTCTTTACTTTTTGGTCGGAGGTGACAAGACATTCGGACCACACTGTACCATGACCAAGATATGGGGGATGTGTTTAATACTAAAGAACAATGCATAACCGATTACCTCAATTTTATCATCATTTCATCTAATTACATATACGTATGTTTTGTAATTTCATCTTTGAATCTTCAGGGTGGTCCGAAAGTCTTGTCACCCCAATATAAAATAATTTTCTATTTAAGATGGCTGCCAAGAAAATGATTTTCATACAGACCTTCTTGATGTGTGACAGCGTCAATAAAAGTAAATAAACTGAATCTATTACATGTGCTTTGTAATTACTGTATTATTTATTCGATTGTTCTCATTACTTTTTAGTACGGGGTGACAAGACTTCAGGACCACCCTGTATTATGGCCAAAAATTGAGGGATGTGTTTAATACTATAAACAGTACAAACCTGATCCCTCACTTTTTATCATCCTGTCATTTGATTACCTATAAGGATATTTTGTAATTTTATCTATGGCCCGACTGTCATGTCAACCCACATAATATAATTTTCGATTTCAGATGGCTGAAACGAAAATGATGTTCATACAGATCTTCTCGATGTGTGACAGCGTCAGTGAATAAACTGAATCAAGTACACGTGCTTTGTATTTACCTTCTTACTTGTTGTTCTATTGGTTACATAACATTTTGGTAGTGGGTGACAAGACTTTCGGAACACCCTTTGGAATGCAAAGATAAAGAAGAAAAGTAAAGAAATAAGAGAAGCATTACGATAAGGAGAAGTAAGAATTCTATAGTGACGAAGGTGAAGAAGAAGTAAAACGAAGGAGAAGAAAAAACAGTTCATAGAAGGAGGAGGAAAACTATTTGACGATGGAGAAGAAAAGTACATAGGAAAAAATTGAAAGCGTAATTTGAAAAGGAAGAAGAAAAAGAAAAAAATACTACTACTAATATAACTACTTTTACAGGAGCAATAAGAATAAGCAGAAAAATTCAGCTCCTCCATTTCTTCTGCTGAGAGAGAAAAAAAAACGCGTTATCCATCTTCAGATTTCTTTTCGAAAAATCGTCCGAGTTCTTCGTGCAAAACGAAAGAGAAATGATTTTTTTCCGATTTTCTCTCGTCCATTTTTCTCTTAGATTCACGTATCACAAGACATGAAGAAATAATTTCATCTTGCCATATTTACAAATATCATACACAGACGAGATAACGTTTGTTTGTTTTTTTTATTGTCCACTTTTATTTTTCATAACGAAAACAATTTCAACTTCCGCTGTGGATTTTCTCCGTAAGTTACCTCAACTTGTCGGAGTTAACTCCTCCTTTAGTTCGTTAACCCTTTCACCAGGGGTCTCTCTTCCCTGGCTATAAATAGCCGCTGACCCTTCGCATCTCCCTCTTTTTTCCCTCAGGCCTTCGCATCGACACCTGGAGGTAAATCTCTTTTTTTACTCAGGCTTTCAGCTTACAACCTCGAAATGTAGGCGCTAACAATGGATAGCGTGGGAACACGCTAAGCACAATACACATACACACACACACATACAGAATATGCACACACACACTTTGTCCTTTTTTCTATGTAACCTGTTATTAATATATATTTGTATACATATATTATCGGTCTTGTGTTTTGTTTGTTTTCTTTGCATTCTTTGGACTTAATTAATAGACCAACCTTTTCATGTAGTTGGACCAGCTAGCAGGAAAATCTGAACCCCACATGTGTTTCTTCTACGTCTACTCAACAACAACCACAGCCACGGTCCACTACAAACTCACATCTACACTGACCAAAAAGAACAGAATAATATGTTTGATTATACTCTCAATTTTTACAAGACAATTTTACGAGAGCGAATGTTGGACGATCTCTTCAAAGATGAAGAAGACACACGAAGCAGTGGAGGTATGGTTCCTTTTCTAAGGACGCCATTGACCGAACGTGTGAGCAATGATGAGGTTTTGAGGAGGATGCAAACATGGAGGAAGCTTATACTTAACATCAGGAATAGGAAGATGAAATTTATGGGACACCTAATGAGAAAGGAGGGCTTGGAGAATTTGATACTCTCAGGGCGAATAGAGGGAAAGAGAGACAAGAAAAAGCAATGCCCGACATACCTGGCAGGCTTAAGCAAGTGGATGACAGAACACGACCTGGAGGAAGTAGGATTTCATTGGTAACAAAGAAAAGAGTACTAAACTACTACGTGATATCTGTCCTCCTTTACGGTAGCGAATGTTGGTCGGTCTCCTCAAAGATGAAGAAGAGACTCAAGGAAACGGAGGTATGGTTCTACAGAAGGATACTAGGGATATCAGGGACCGAACATGCGAGCAAAGATGATGTCTTAGAGAGGTTGAAAACAAGGAGGAAGCTTATACTTATCATGAAGAGCCAGCTGAAGTTTTTGGGACACGTAATGAGAAAAGAAGGCTTAGAGAATCTGATACTCCCAGGTCGAATAGAACGAAAGAGACAAGGGAAAGCAATGCATGATATACCTAGTGGGATTAAGCTAGTGGGTGACAGAGCATAGCCTGGGGGAATTAGCAAAAGAACAAAATTTATTGAGAGCTTCAAGGGATAGGGAAAAGTGGAGGGCCATGAACGTCTACGCCCTGAAGGGACACGGCATATAAAAAGAAGAAACATAAATATTGAGCCTAACCATATTGGAAATAAGTGCATGTTATGGAGTGTGAAGAGTGAACAATGGTAGTTTCAAGAATCGTATAGCTGCATAAACCAGATCACTATTGCTATTCAATGCTTCGATTAATTTGGCGCGGAAAACAATCATGGGGCACCTAGTGCGGGTGAAACTCATTACTCAGTAATTGTGAATTGTGAGGCGAATGGGTTTCATATTGTTTCACCACAGGGGGGATGAAAGCATTTAATTAGCCATGAAGATGAAGAAGACGAAAGAAGAGGAAGAAGGAGGAGAAGAAGGAGGAGGGGGAGGTGGAGACGGCCGCAGGCAAGAACAAAAAAGATAGGCAGAAGAATATGTGGAAATATCAAAAGAAAGAGAAGAAAGAAAATAACGACATTAGGAACAAAGGTGTAAAGAAGAAGAAGAAGAAGAAGAAGAAGAAATATGTTGACACATTAAGAGAAGAAAAAGAAGAAGAAGAAGAAGAAGAAGAAGAAGAAGAAGAAATATGTGGATATATTCAGAAGGAGAAGAAATATGTGGACACATTAAGAGAAGAAGAAAAAGAAGAATGAGAAGAAAAAGACGAAATATGTTGACATATTAAGAGAAGAAGAAGAAGAAGAAGAAGAAGAAGAAGAAGAAGAAGAAGAAGAAGAAATATGTGGATATATTCAGAAGGAGAAGAAATATGTGGACACATTAAGAGAAGAAGAAAAAGAAGAAAAAGAAGAAAAAGAAGAAGAAGAAAGAGAAGAAAAAGAAGAAATATGTTGACATATTAAGAGAAGAAGAAAAAGAAGAAGAAGAAAGAGAAAAAAAGAAGAAATATGTTGACATATTAAGAGAAGAAGAAGAAGAAGAAGAAGAAATATGTTGACACATTAAGAGAAGAAGAAGAAGAAGAAGAAGAAGAAATATGTTGACACATTAAGAGAAGAAGAAGAAGAAGAAGAAGAAATATGTTGACACATTAAGAGAAGAAGAAGAAGAAGAAGAAATGTGTGGATATATTCATCAGAAGAAGAAATATGTGAACACATTAAGAGAAGAAGAAAAAGAAGAAAAAGAAGAAGAAGAAAGAGAAGAAAAAGAAGAAGTATGTTGACACATTAAGAGAAGAAGAAAAAGAAGAAGAAAGAGAAAAAAAGAAGAAATATGTTGACATATTAAGAGAAGAAGAAGAAGAAGAAGAAATATGTTGACACATTAAGAGAAGAAGAAGAAGAAGAAGAAGAAGAAGAAATATGTTGACACATTAAGAGAAGAAGAAGAAGAAGAAGAAGAAGAAGAAGAAGAAATGTGTGGATATATTCATCAGAAGAAGAAATATGTGGACACATTAAGAGAAGAAGAAAAAGAAGAAAAGAGAAGAAGAAAAGAAGAAAAAGAAGAAATATGTTGACATATTAAGAGAAGAAGAAGAAGAAGAAAAGAAAATATGTTGACACATTAAGAGAAGAAGAAGAAGAAGAAATGAAGAAGAAGAAGAAGAAATATGTTGACACATTAAGAGAAGAAGAAGAAGAAGAAGAAGAAGAAGAAGAAGAAGAAGAAGAAATATGTTGACACATTAAGAGAAGAAGAAGAAGAAATATGTTGACACATTAAGAGAAGAAGAAAAGAAGAAGAAGAAGAAGAAGAAGAAGAAGAAGAAGAAGAAGAAGAAGAAGAAGAAGAATATATCATCAGAAGAAGAAATATGTGGACACATTAAGAGAAGAAAAAGAAGAAAAAGAAGAAGAAGAAAGAGAAGAAAAAGAAGAAGTATGTTGACATATTAAGAGAAGAAGAAGAAGAAATATGTTGACACATTAAGAGAAGAAGAAAAAGAAGAAGAAGAAAGAGAAAAAAAGAAGAAATATGTTGACATATTAAGAGAAGAAGAAGAAGAAGAAGAAATATGTTGACACATTAAGAGAAGAAGAAGAAGAAGAAGAAGAAGAAGAAGAAGAAGAAGAAGAAGAAGAAATATGTTGACACATTAAGAGAAGAAGAAGAAGAAGAAATATGTTGACACATTAAGAGAAGAAGAAGAAGAAGAAGAAGAAGAAGAAGAAGAAGAAATGTGTGGATATATTCATCAGAAGAAGAAATATGTGGACACATTAAGAGAAGAAGAAAAAGAAGAAAAAGAAGAAGAAGAAAGAGAAGAAAAAGAAGAAGTATGTTGACATATTAAGAGAAGAAGAAGAAGAAGAAGAAGAAGAAGAAGAAGAAGAAGAAATATGTGGACACATTAAGAGAAGAAGAAGAAAAAGTAGAAGAAAAAGTTGAATAAAGAAATATGAAGAGAACGAAAAGAAGAAAAATAATAATAATAATGAGAAGGAGAAGAAAAAAAGATGAAGAAGAAGAGAGCCGTGGAAATATTAGGAGAAAAGAAAAAGAAGAAACATGGGAATATAAAGAGAAGAAAAAGAAGAAAAGAAAAAAGATAGTTATGGAAATATTAAGAGAAGAAGATGATGATGTTAATAATAATAATAATAATTATAATAATAATCAGAAGAAAGTCGTGGAAATATTAAGAGAAGAAGAAGAAAGCATAATAATGATTAGTAGACCTTTTAAAAAAATGTTAAAAACGAGTCTTAAAATGTTTTCTTCGTATTCTAAATTATTGCGCTGTGTAACATATAAAGAAACAAATTCCAAACGCCAATAAAACATTTTTTCTTAATTATTTTAAAAGTAGCTTGAAGTCTGGCCAAAAAATGGTTTCATGAAAACATCTGAGGAAACTGAAATTGAAAATATCTTATCTTTTATCAATTCGATTTGGATATGTCTTGATCTTCGCAAATGAGATACGACGCCATCACTTTTTTTTTTCATTACGAAGATCTTGATCGTGTAAGTTTTGATTACATTTCTTGTGAATTTCTTTCTACAAGTTGTTCGGTATATCTTTTTAGGTCGAATTTTTTAGGGTTTTCCTTGCGACTACGTTTAGGTTGTTCATTTCTCTATCGTTCTGAAGGTTACAATTAGCAAGAAAAAAAATGAGGCACACAGAAAAAAAAAGTCATCAAATATAATACCCGTCTAAACCCATTAACGATAAAAGGCAGTACTCAATTGATTGCATTTTCAATAACCCGCGTGATATTACTGTGTCGTGCCAGAAGTTTTTTTTTTCTTGTCAGAGTCCATCTTACACATTTAAAAATCTGCCATTCGTCCATGCATTCAGTGCTGTTGCCATATCTGGTCTCTTGCTCTAACTACATATCTTGAAACTCTTGACAATGTTCGAAGAAAGATCTGCAATGTTATCGACCCTGATCTGGCATCTCGACTTCAGTCACTTTCTCTTATACGAGATGTGGCTTCTCTTTGTCTTTTCTAGAAATATTTTCATGGTAACTACTTTGACGAGCTATTTCCTTTGGTACCCCGACTTCATGAATTTAAACTACTAGATTGGCATCTAGGTCCCACCCTTTTACTATTGAAATACCTAAATACAACTGCAAATTCTACACCCACAGTTTCATCTGGTGTCCTTTCCTGTGCCTTATCTTTCACTTTCACTCCCTGTAAGGTTTTGCTTTCTAGTGTGGTGCAATAGTTGGCAAGCTTGTCTCGCTAGAATCATTACAATTAATTTGTGGGTTCAATCCTCACTGGGTGCCCAGTGCTTTCGGCCTTGTGCCACATCTGTGCTTAGAAATTCATTTGGTCATCTCAGCATGACGTAATCATTAGCAATCTTGTCTTGCTAGAAAAATTACGAATGAGTAATAAGTTCGTTTCTCACTGGGTGCTCCATACTTACGGCCTTGTGCCACATCTGTGCTTAGAAATTCATTTGGTCATCTCAGCATGATGGAATCATTAGCAATCTTGTCTTGCTAGAAAAATTACGAGTGACTAATAAGTTCGATCCTCACTGGGTGCTCCATACTTACGGCCTTGTGCCACATCTAGGCTACGCTTAGAAAATCATTTATGGGCACCTTGATGCGGTGTAATGAAAGCTTAACTCGCTAGAACAGTTACTAGTGAGTTTGATCGTTACTGAGTGCCCCGTAGTTTCGGCTTTGAGCCACATCTAAGCTACGCTTGGAAAATCCCTAGTTAGGCTGAAATGATTAAATAAACAAAGGTTTATACATATTGAGTCTTTTCACTCGTATTGCACTTAGAAAAAAAAACGTTGCATTAATCTCTATCTATAAAAGGCAGGATGTGTGTTTGTGTGTGTGTAACGAATGCACGGCCGCAATTTTCGACGGATTTGCACCAAAATTTACATGCACATACTCCAAGTTAGCGGGAAGGCCAAGATCCACTTTGCATTTCCCAACTCCCATCGATAGTGGAAATAATCGATTTGTTCATGCTTCTATGGCAGTTTTCATGTAGTTTGCGGCCATTTTCTACTGGCCAGAGTGAGAGTCAATAGCTGGCTGCTACGAATAGGCAGGAAGATTCTATTGACCAGCGTGAGAGCCAACAGCTGACTGACACGAATGTTAACTAGCATTCTAGCATGAAAAAAAATCGATAGCTGCATTCGTCACAAGTGGGGAAAATTTAAATCTGCATGGCACTTTACTCCAATTGGCTCATTCGCTTGCTTAAACTCAACGTTGATTCTGATTCCGCAGAACTGGGTTTGGTGTGAAAAAGTATTTGTTGTTAACATTCTTTTTTCATTCGGTTTTTCCAGTTACGAGTCCTTTTTTAAAGCTGATCGTTTTGTGTTCATTTTGTTTAGTTCTTTTTCGTAACAGATTTAATGTTTAGTATAGAGCTTAGAAAAAATTCGCAGTGTGAGATAGGCAAGAAGTAAGGCATGTAGCAACATCAGCACAGTAAAGGGCACTCCTTTAAAGGCAAGAAAGGGCAAAAATATTTTAAGTCAAGTGATAGCGATTGCTGTATGAATCGTATGATTTTTTAATCAAACACGGGCAACGCCGGGCCATGCTGCTAGTTTTATATAGAATAAACCTAAAAAAATTATATAACCTTCTTGTGGCAGCGAATGCTGGGAATCTCCCATCACGAATGTCTCCCACGCTTTTAATCTTTTTTTGAGTAACAAATTTTTCAAGCCACATTTCTTTATTATATTCCCTAGACCCTCAACTATCTCTTCTTGACCCTAGAACATTAACCATGGGTATATAGTACCCAGCGCAAATTTTCCTATTTTTAATTACAATTTTCAGTGCCCGATTTTGTTACCTAATGTTTTTCAGTTCCTATTAATGTTAACTCAAAGTACAAAGTTTGGAGTGTTTGCATGTAAAATATTTCAAATAAAGATTTATATTTAATATTTTTTGATATTTTCAAAATTGGGTATGATATACCCATGGTTAGTTGTGTTGTAACTTTAATTGATGGTTAGTGTTCTAGGGTTAATATCAACTATATATGTCCTTTTTGTTTCCTTTTTATTCCAAATGTCGTGGTTGTTCATATGTTCGATCTATGGTATTTTCAGCATCTTTCTGTACAATCCATATTTCTATATCTCCTCTTCATCTATGAGGAGAATGTCCAGATATTCACTGGTATGTAACAAGACAGATATCACGGAAGAGTTAAGCACTATTTTCTTTGTTTCTAACTAAATTTTCCCATTTCTTAATACTTTTCTTATCTTTTGGAAGACATCTTTCGCTCTCCCAATGTTTCTTCGGATTTCAGTGTAGCACTTTCTGTCATCTGTTAAAAAAAAACTAACCTGGTATTTAAATTTTTGTATTTGATTGATTTTGGTATTTCTAATTTGAAATTTGCATGTTAGACTGTTCCTTTATACTGACAACCATCACAAGACTAACCGAAGAGATGAAAGCTGTCAGTCGATTAATCTCTGTCATATTCTAAACACTGGGTTTTTTTCGACCGCAGTATGGTTGAAATAACAATTTCCACATCTTCGTAAAAAATAACACAAATAAGAATATTAGTGATGTAATGGAATAATCTGTCACCACCATGAGTGACTACACTATAGGTAGTAACTTCCTATAAGTATCTTTAAGTCAACGGGCTACAGAGATTTGCTAGGATCTGTTATTCAGATTTTGGCTGCTGTCGAACTCCCTACCTTCTGAGGAACCCGGACGAGGCTATGCCGAAAGGCAGAGTCTTGTCCGGGGAGGTACACAGACCCGAACCCGTTTATGCAGGGTTTACGGGGAATTTACGGCCGAAACGTACGGGCTCGGATTGCCCCACATTAAACTCGGCCTTGTGCCAAATCCATCCCTGTGGGGACGCAGGTAAATACCGACTAGCTGGGATCTGTTACTCAGCTCTTAGCTGTTGTCGAACTCTCGGGCAGAGAGGAATCCGGATGAGGCTATGTAGTAACTACCTATAAGTATCTGTAAGTAAACGGACTACAGAGGCTAGCTGGAATCTGTTCCAGTTATGCTATCGAACACTCTACCTTCGGGCAGAGAGGGCCCCCATGTCGAAGGGCAGAATCTCGTCTCGGGAAACAGCTACTGGACCCCGTTTTGCACGGGTTCTACAGGAATTTTTGGCTGAGCCTACGGGCTCAAATGCCCCACATTAAATTCGGCCTTGTGCCACATGTGATCGCGTGTGAGGGTTAGTAAATTCACTAGCTGGGATCTGTTACTCAGCTCTTAGCTGTTGTCGATCTCTCTGCCTTCGGGCAGAGAGGAACCTGGACGAGGCTATGCCGAAGGGCAGAGATTTGTCCGGGGAGGTAGACAGACCCGATCCCGTTTATGTGGAGTTTACGGGGGAATTTTTGGCCGAGCGTACGAGCTCGGATTTCCCCACATCAAATTCGGCTTTGTGCCACATTCTACCCCGTTGGCAGGTTGGGAAATATTGCTAGCTGGTATCAGTTGAGTACGATTCAGACTTACGCAAGAAATACCAAGCTTCAAATAGTAGCAATCACTACTGGATTGACTTGAGACAACCTTGTACCCAGCTGTTACTTTTATTTCTTTTGTGCTGTTTTTTTTTTTTTACAATTAGTTTCCATGATGCAGGTAAAAAGATCAGCTCTCGGAACGTAACTGACTTCTTATGCTGTCATCTACCTTTATAAGAGTCAGATCAGGCCAAAAATGGAGTACTGTTGCCATATTTGGGTAGTAGCTACGCAGACCTTACATTCCAGTCTTGATAGAGTTCATAAGAGTCTCAGAGTCCTTGTGGGAGAAGTATTATTTTCCATCCACCAAGCTCTCTCTCACGGACGGGATGTGGAGAGTCTCTCACTGTTCTATCGTTACTATCGGACGAACAACATTCCTTGGATCCGCCAGGTTGAACCTTCACGCCGCGGACACGCCGTGGACACGCCGTGGACACGCCACGTACACGCCGTGCCACTTACATAGTGGGAAACCACCCATAAACCCCGGTATTCCATCGGCGAGAAGTAAGTTTCACTCGAACACCTTCTTCCGGCTAACTACTCTCCTGCGACGCTATCTTCCCAGAGGATGTTTCCCTGATCGCTACGATCTTAACCTGTTCAAGTCTACAGTTAACCTGCTATCCATATAAACTACCTCTTGTCATAACCCTCCATCTTGAGTGGGCCGAGTCTTGTACAGGGTGAACTTTACTGTAAAAAAAAAAAAAAAAAAAAAAGAGAATAAAAATAACTGCGCAGACGGCCGGTGAAAATCAACGACATTCCGTTTATAGCTTCATAGAAGTTTCTCGAACTTTCTGATCTTTAGAAAAAGTGGCAAACAGAAAGCAAATACGCCCTACTTTCCGGTTAAGAGCTGATTGTCTCGTTGTTATTGACGCTTGGACAACTACCAGTTTATTTGCAGGAATGGTAAACGTTGATTGGCGACCGTTATCTCTTATCAGCGGAGAAAGCTATTTGACATGCGCAAATAAGACTGTTGGTATTTGGCGTCTTCGTATGGGGTACAGGAAGATATGGACAATATGTTGGAGACGGAGTGTGAGAGACAAAAAGAGAGAAAGAGTGAGAGAGAATGATATAGGGCGACAGGGAGAA